ACTAAGGGCAAGCTGTGCCTGACAAATCTGGTGGCCTTCTATGACATGGTTACAGCATTGGTGGGTAAGGGAAGATCAACTGGAGTCATCTACGTTGACTTACGCAAAGCATCTGATGCTGTCCCACACAACATCCTCGTCTCTAAACTTTAGAGACATGGATTTGATGGATGAACCATTCAGTGGATAAGGAATTGGCTGGATGGTCACACTCGAAGTGTTGTGGTCAATAGCTCGATGTCCGAGCAGAGAGCAGTGACGAGTGGTGTTCCTCAGGGGTCAGTGTTGGGACCAGCGCTGTTTAACATCTTTGTCAGCAACATGGACAGTGTGATTGAGTGCACTCTCAGCAAGTTCAGTGGCAACACCAAAATGTGTGGTGTAATCAACATGCTGGAGGGAAGGGATGCCATCCAGAGGGACTCTGATAGACTTGAGAGGTGCACCTGTGCAAACCTTACAAAGTTCTACAAGGCAAGTGCGGGAGCAAATGGGTCAGGGCAATCCCAAGCAAAAATACAGGCAGGGCAACGTGTGGATTCAGAACAGCCCTGCAGAGGACTTGGGAAGCTAAATATGAACTAGCAATGTGCATTTGCAGCCCAGAAAGCCAACCGTATCCTTGGCTGCATTAAAAGAAGCTCAACCAGCAGGTTGAGAGAGACGATTCTCATCATCTACTCCACTCTCCTGAGATACCACTCTCAGTACTGCATCCAGCTCTGGCATCACCTTCTTATGTAGGACATGGACTTGCTCAAGCAGGTCCACAAAGATGATCAGGGGGCTGAAGCACCTCCCTTACAAAGACAAGCTGAGAGAGCTGGGGTTGTTCAGCCTGGAGAAGAGAAGGCTCCGGGAAGACCTTATAGCAGCCTTCCAGTGCTTAAAAGGGGCTACAGGAAAGATGGGGAGGGACTCTTTATCAGGGAGTGTAGTGATAGGACAACGGGTAATGGTTTTAAACTGAAAGAAGATAGATTTAGAATAGGTATAAGGAAGAAATTCTTCACAGTGAGGGTGGTAAGGCGCTGGCACAGGGTGCCCAGGAAAGTTGTGGCTGCCCCCTTCCTAGAAGGGTTCAAGGCCAGGTTGGAGCAGCCTGGTCTGGTGGAAGGTGTCTCTGCCCATGGCAGGGGGGTTGGAACTAGAAAATTTTTAAGGTCCCTTCCAACCCAAACCATTCTATGATTTTACATGGTTGTGGAATTGTAAATGGTTCGGTTTATTATGTCATCTTTCTAATGAAAGATGACATAATAAAATCATTATTGAAATACGGTAGAGACCGGCACATTTTTGGTCTCAATGTGACAACTCTTCCATCTCTTTCCAGTTCCTCATGGTCACACATTGTTGTCTTCCATTCCTCACATACACACACCCCCTTTTTTTTTAATTAGGTTTAAGCACAGAAGTTCTAATGGGAAAACAGCATGAAGTTCCCAGAGCACCCCATCTCTCTTGAGATATTCATCTGCAATAAAGATCAGGCGAAGATGTAAATTGAAGCATCTCTTGCGCGCGCACACACACACATCAGTGTTTTAATGTCTTCTCATTAATTCTCCTTGTGAAATTACGATGGGAAGAAAAAAATGAAGCAGTCTATAGGCAGCTCTGCAAGAGTATTAAATGAAAACTGTATTTTGCAATTAAGCATATGACAGTTTTGGATAATGTAATCAAATATATGGATTCATTTACAGTATGTGTACAATATGAAGAGATTTCTTCAAGCCAAAACTCTCTCAGCTGTATATTCTGAAGGCTCATTACAAATGGGCTGTCTGAAGTCCTGTACTTTGTACCTATCTTCTCTATTCCTGGGTTCATCACCTTCTCTGACTCTCCTTTGCTCTCTTTTTAAGAACACAAGCATCTCTCAGGTATGTCATTTTCCAAAACCAAGCCATCACTACAATTATAATCTATAACCCTACAACATTATTATTGTTGTTGCTGCAATGTTCCCTTCAGTGTGGTGTCTAAACAATGCTGATTTCAGGAGCAGTCTGACTGCACAGAAACCACGGGAGTGTCAGGTGAAGTGAATCTTTTAAGATATGGCCTGTTCATTTTCTTTAGCAATTTGTTCCTCTAGTGTTAACCATTTTATCCAATGAAGCAAAGACAGAAAGCAAGAGTCAGAATTGTTCTTGCAGCTATTGCTTCCATGCTTCAGGAAGGCGAGCATGGAAAGCTGGTGCCTTCTTCCTACACACTTTCAGATAAAAAATGCCTTTATTTTTGAGTTTTGTACAACCCTGAGAAAAACACCAGGCTTTCCATAAAGAGCAGTGACAAATAATGTCTGACTTTCCACTGCACATTCGGGGAGAGGAGGAGGCTGTTTCTTTATTCTGTATATTCTGGTTCACTTACCACATGTGAGAAAGAATAAGGAAAACACCCTTGTTTATAAAGTCTCATGTGCTCCACCAGAGTTCAATAATCAGTGAAAAATTTTCCTAGCCTCAAGCAAAGTTCATCCCCTTTATGAACATATTGAATTATTCCTACCGCTATTTATAGTTCAGACTATAATTTGTTATATGAACCGAAACTCTTTCTGCTCAGCTGATCTGCTACACCTTCTGCATGCTTGGTGAATAGAGGACTATTCAGTTAAATCAGTGTATCACGGACTGATGTCACCGACGGCTGAAGAGGAAGACCACTGCTGCTTAGACAACACATAGATACTGTGTTACCTGAAAGGTCGTATTTAACATTCTCTTTGCAAATGAAGTAGCTGTAACACAGTTCTTTTGATCATCCCTTTGACCTGGGAACACGCTTGTCCTTCAAATCACTCAATTGCCACAGCAAAGAAAGAAAGCGTTATGACCTCTAGCTTCTCCTTCCGGAGAAGATGACAGGACAGAAAGTAGAATTTTAAGAAAAACCTGGGAAACAAATTATTACTTTTCCATGCATTTGCTTCATATTTTAAGAAAATGAATTTGCTAGCTTTTAGTTATACCCTGAAAAACATCAACCACTGGCTTTGGTATTTTTAACAAATGCAAAGTGGAAGACGTAGCTGCTAGTCTCAAAACCAAAGGTAGTAAGCAGACACGATGAGTAGGGGACATGCTGAGTAAAGTTTTCCCTCTACTTGAATTGTAGTTTCTCAGTTCCCTGCTCATCAAGCTAACAAGTATTCTGGTCTCAATCTCTCCCTTTAAAGTTTTCTACTTTGCACAGAATAATTTACTAAAACAGAAGTCTAGTAAGGGAGTAAGCTAATGCTGCAGGCCAGTCACCCAGGCAGTAACCTGGGATGCACGACAGCTGTCCTCTAGTCCTCAGCAAAATACAGGTGGATCAGCAGCGTCAGAAAATACCAACAGAATCCCCAATAGAAAATTAAAGTTTTAAGCCCTATTGAGAAGAAGAATAAATTTGGATTTGGGAACCTCATATTCTGTGCGTTATCCACCAAACGGCCACAAGAACAGGCATGAAAACCTCCCCAGAACACAGTGTTGGGAATACAGCCTCTCCAGCAAGTTTTCTCCCAGCTGAAATTCTTCCATAATTTTAAGATGGCCAAGACAACTATTCCAGCAAATAAACTAGTCACATGAAAATCCCTACCTAGCTTTTAAAGCAAGTAAAGGCACTTAGCACTTAATGGCATACCTAACATAACCCATTTCTTGTCATTACTCCCAGACCATTATTTGTTCTCTAAGTAGGATAAAAAGAAGTCTGTAACTAAAAATCCCAAAAGCAATTTAAAGATTATTAATGGGCAATTCACTTCCTTAAAATTCACCTGTAGGTTCACTTAGAAAATAATTTTACTCTTTTTTTTTTTTTTTTTTTTTTTTTAAGTCAAGAAATGTTGTAGCACTGCTGGACACTGTTAAGTAGCTGCCAACAGATTTCAGTTCTTGCCTATTGATTCCAAAATAAAGAGCCCATCAAGGTATAAAGTATTCTATTAAAAAGTAGAACTCATTCATACCATAAAAAAAATTCACCTCTCTTGAAGATTATGAATGCTGCGTTGCATATTATCCACAGAAAAAAAGACTTATCCCAAGGGGAAAAGAGCAATGAATGGCTTCCTATACTTTTTTACTTTCTAACTTACTCAGAGCAACTCTCCTTTTAACAAAGCAACGGGGTATCTAGGGATATGCCAAGATATCTGTGCTGGCAAGTATGATAATTTAAACATCAACCCATTTTATGACTAATCATTTTCCTTGGAGAGTTATTCAAGGAAGTTTTCACTGATCCATGACTCTAAGCTATCCTCGGCCCTTCAGTAAACCTGGGCTGTAAAAAAAATTTTAAAAAAAGAGAAAAAAAAAATATGGAAACCATAGAAAAGAAAATTTTAAAAACCTTCATAGATCTTAATAAGGCACCACTAGTAACTCAAAAGAGTAACTTTAAATATCAATTAACACAATATCCAACATACAAAGGAATAAAAATAGTAAAGTTAAAATTCATAACCCTTGAAAGGGGATTTACGATTCCTGAAGAATTCAGTTATACCCATTTAAAGGTGTCCTCTCTTTTCAAGTTTCTAAAGATTTTTCTTTTTTTTCCTCCTTTGCATTCTCAAAGCCTAAATCAAACAAAACTTCTAGTTCTCTGCAAGACAAGACAAGCAGGTCTGATGCCTCACTGCTCCACAGATTATTCTGTAGACATGCACACAGTATGCTGTGTGATCCTAGTTCCCACCCCACAGTGCAAACTCAAAGCAGTACAGCACATAATTATTATTATGAATATGTTAGAGAACCTCTGCAATATTGACCTTAGAAATTCCTTGCATTTGACCATCAGTTTTGCTGGGTTGTTATTATTATTGGTTTATTACATATTATTGCATTTCAGAAGAATAAAAAGCCTTTTTCTTTCAGTGTGTAGTTGGTTTTTTTTTCCCTTTCAGATCTCATAAACAGTAACAATCTAAGGTTATACATTCATTCCAAAGTTATAGCTAATGAAAAAAGCATGCATAGCTTTACCTTTTCACTATTCTTGTATTTTTCCCAGCTTTTCAGCATCTTAAGCCATTTTGTAGTTCTTTCAATTTCAATGTGCTTTTGCTGAAAAGAAATTAGAATTTTTTAATCTTTTAAAAATTAATACATTTTTCTTAATATTTTTAGAAAAATAATTTTAAAGTTCAGCACAGCATTATCAACTTTTTATCTGTTATCTAAGAGCAGCAACAAAGAATAACTTAAAATACTCAAAAAAACAGCCAACCAAAAACCGAGCAGAAACCTTTATTTTCAGCACTATGTAAATAATTGTATTTTGTTTAAATACAAGATTTATAAAAGTTCATTCTCTACACGTTTTTGACAAGTACAAAAAACTTCAATTTGTTTTTACACTCCGTAAATTTTCAGGCAAATAATTTCTTCTGCAAGCTTCTCAGAAGAGATGATCTTCTTTACCCAGACTTGCTCTAAACATAATTAGCTACTTGATCACACAAACCATCCCTTCCTGAAAGGCAAAAAATTAAAAAGGCACCAAGTACATGAACAAAAACAAGTGTGTCCAAGAGCAATAGTGCTGTAGCAGAAGTGGGAATAAGCTCTAATTCTGGACATTAAAAGCTAGAAAGCCTTGCTATAATTCTCATCCATGGCTTTGTACATTTTCACCTAAATGGCCCTATATCTTAACATCAAGGATTTCTTCTTAAGGTAGGATCTACTTGCTTAAATTATATTAATGACAAGAATATTTCAGTAACAAGGTGATAAAATGAGAATTCAAAACAAACCCCATCTTCTCAAAATAAATATATTAAGTAGTATAACATAACATAATAAATATGTGAATTCCACACAGTATTTATATTATATATGGCTTTAAAAGCATGGGACGACCCTACTATCTTAAAGATTGCCATTCTGCCTATGAAAACCTTGCTACAGTTGTCATCAGCCTCTTGAATTTGGGAACCAAACAAGCGCTTGGAATTAGCTATTTTAGTCCCTGGAATTTCACGACACTGGCTCTTCACAGCCAATAATCTGTATTTTGTTGGCTTCAGTTATAAGATTTTTAGTATGTATTTTTACAGCCCAGTTTTATATGCTATGAAGCAAAAAAGGTGTCTCTGATTATACTACAAAGGTAACTATTAATTGTATTTTTTTAAAACTTTTTTAACGACACTATTTCAACTCTTTTATAATGCTTTGGAGCTGAGGATGAACACTGGAAAGTCTAAAGTAGAAAAACATATGTGTCTGGCTATTGCTTTCTCTTCAAAGATGAATATAAAGAAATATTTAGGCTTTTTTGTAAAGGACAGCCCCCCTACCTCCAACTTCAAACCCAGGACTTAATAAAGACAGGAAGAACATTCTGTTTCATATGGTTAGTGATACAACCTGGTAACAATGTAAGAGTTTAATTTCAAAGCTCTGCAGGATACTGAAAACTTATTAATACTTTCATTAAGTATTCATTAAGTCAACTTGCATCTGAAGGGTCGGGGGAAAAAATATTAAAAAAAATTATTACTTATTGTCTCAACAGAATTCTAATTTTGCTTCTAGCTTTAACTCGTCAGAATTTGTGCATTCTTTCTTGGCTATCAATGCAACAAAATGGGTAAATTACTTTTTTAACCCAGGAGCCCAAAGCCATGTACTTGCAGAAGTACGACTTGATGACTGTTTAGGTCCACCCCAACTATGATTCAGACCATGAAGTGTCCTGGAAATAAGTTGGGTTTGTTTTGTTAAGTTATTTTTAGTTGAACCCAACTGACTTAAGCCTGACATAAACATTAAGAAAGTTATGGGGAAAGAAGTGCCTCTATTCTTTCAACCTTATCTAACTATCCATGTTGCAATCAACTGCCCACATTCTTGTTCAGGTTCCATGCTGTATTTGGTAATATCCCAACCACTTGCTTTTTTAAAAATTATCTAAAACACTTTTCTTAAGAGTTAGGTTTAAGAGTTAGTTTAAAAAAACTACTGCTTCCCGGATTTCATAGGTTTCACAACACTATGTCTGATTCACCTCCATTCTGATGACCCCTTTAAAAAATAAGCATTTTTAACATCTCTTAAAGCAGATGTTCTCTAGGCATAGTTTAGATTGCAGGAATAACATTGCGATCAAGTCAGGAAAGGTCTCTGCCCTCAACCGTTTGTTCAGATAATTGGTAAGAAAAATAAAACCCTATCTGCTCCTACAGCCTCTTTGTTTGTATGTTTGATCTACTTTCAAGATTTTTCATCTTTTGAGCCAGAAGCTCACTTCAGCTGTGTATTTGTTCAAGCTTTTATGTCTTCTGTGTCAATTTATCCCAGTTCTCAAGCAACGCTACTGTAATCAAAATAGCAATTATTTCTGTATTCAGTTGTTGAAAACTTTTAGCTGTTTTTTTCCTAGTCTGAATTATGTTCACTTTCATGTCTAACAGGTGCAACACTGAAAACATGGATAGATCTGACACAACTCATTGCAGAGTAGAGAGATGCTGCTGCTGCTCTTTCAGGCAAGTTCCATGTAGTTGTCACAAAAAAAAAAAAAAAAAAAAAAATCACTAAAAAAAAAATCCTTTTATCTGTCTTCTGAGCACATTTTACACTTTGAAGCATTTTTGCCATTGGGAATAACAGAAACCCTAACTGAAGCAGAGAAGGTTTCGTACTCTCATGTCAGTAAATAATACACTACTGAAAGCAAAAAAGCATGAAGTTAAGTTGGCAAGCATCCATCTTTTATGCAGCACCCTACCTTCCTGGAGAGCAAGTGTGCTAGAGCTGAGGCGTAAAGCAATGTTTTAGTAGAAGCCTCAGACAAAACCAGAACTCACTGAACTGTTCCCTGGAGAATTTATAATCAAGTAAACCAAAGACAAAACCAAAACAAACTGAAAATGACTTACAAAACATTTCATAGCACTTCAAAAACAGAGTAAGACACAGATTCCAGATTTCCCGAGGTCAGTTCTCTGTCTACTTTTCTCCTCTAGGTTATCTTTCCTCCCCTAGTTTTACCTCAGATGTGCTGGATGATTCATCTGAAGGTTAAGTAGTTCATAATGTAGGACAATGATTCAACGCATTTAAGTCACCAAATGTCCAGCAAGATAATGAAGCATCAAAATTACTCTGAATTCACAATAATAATGCCCATAAACACACATTGAAAAACCCCAGCTTAAGCTTTACACTAGAATGTATATGAAGAATAGAGATTCAAAATTCACAGGGATACACAACCCTTTATGTAAGTTGCAAATGAAATGAAAACATGATTTAGGAATATTTTTTAAAATTCACAAGTAAGGCTAAAATATTTCTGCCAAGTAAGTGACTTTAAAAGATATTGCACAGAAAGATTTTACTCTTAGCCTACATTAACAAGACACATTAATTATCCTATCAGTGGTATCTTAAAAATTGTAAAGATTCAAACACGGCTGACAGAAGACAGATAAACCTCAAACCAGCAGAGGTCAGGGTATCATCAGGAGTATAACCAGGACTCTAATACAAGAGCATTACTGTGTGATTATAAAAAGACACTAGATCTGCAATTTAACACTGATTCAATAAATGCAGTTTCTATGCTGACATTTTGTCTGAGACAGCATGAATACAATATGGGACAGAGAACTGAGACACTATTTTCCCCCGATAATTCAAGGCTAACTACAAAGCCACAGTGAATCAGAGCTTCAAAACACATATACCACAACAATTTCAAGCTGCCTAATATTTATTCTCACAGACACACCACCCTGCTGTGTCCTTCTGATGGAAATGAAATTATATATACAATCACTATGTTATTAAATGTAATGAAACATGGCAGGAAAATGCACCTATTTCAGGCTGTGTACACAGAAGCACAAATGAATGCAAACAAAAGGGACTCAGAAGTTCCCTTCTTTTATGAGAAATGTTTCTTACTAGCCCTATACCGAAGCTCAAAATAATTAATTTTCAGAACCACTGCTGCTCTTAACACTCTGCGAGCCGAACTGCCTTAGAACAAGTCATACCATCCCCTTTTCATGCACTGTAATGATTTGTGCAGCCAAGAGGGCTAACTTTAAACTTACAGCTTTAAATATTGACTTTTCTGATGATCCAGAAGATCAATATGGACAAACAAGAAGGATCTGATCTGGTCTTAGAGATAACAGGCCTGACAGACCAAGAAGAAATACCAGTAGTAACTAGGCCCAGTCAAGAAGAAATTCAGTTCTCAGTGATTTTAATAAAAGCCTTCCACTTTATCGAAACATCAGTTCCCAAATTTTTCCTCCAGTGCCCTCCAGCAGCAGAAGGATTTTTGGACTAGAGCCCGCACCAGCTGCTGACAGGTCTTGAACATCCAAGAATACACTCAACTCAACATTACAAGGGATGTCATCACATTTCAGTGGCAGCCAGGATATTTGTCACCGTTTACCAAACAGAAAAACACACTCCATTCCTCAGGGGATGGCAACATACACCTCAGCATCAAAGCCACCACCTCACTTGGACAATCCATCCGTGCAAGCAGAGCTGATGACAGCTCGTGACACAGAGACAAGAGTTCTCGCTCTTCCAGGGCAGAGCTGGGTGTGATCTCTTAAATAGCTCTGTTTCCTTTATTAGGTCATATAATGGTTGAGGAAAACTCATGTCTCATTGCAAACAGTAAATGTAAGATCGCATGGGCCCCAAGGGATGTGTGGGCGAGCTAACATGGCCTCAAGGACCAAAGTGCTTATGGGACTTAGAACATGTTTCTTTGGGAATGCAAATCCCTAAAATGCTTCATCTCCTCATTTCACAATGATTGATATTTGAAAAGTCATAAATCTGTAAACATTTACTTCCTAGTCAAAAAAACTGGAAGATACTAGACTTACCTTTTCTATCGCTGCATCATGGACAGGAAGCTCCTCTGGACTGAAATCAAAGAAAAAGTTCATATTACTCTTGGTTAATCTTAGCACAAAACCATTTCTGTATAGGTTCTTACAAGTAATAATTTACAGTAGCAATATGTAGTAATGAGTAAACAAAAATTCTGAACTTTAGAGAAATAAGACAATGACACACTGGAACCCCTGGAATTTACTCTTTAAACACAGTAAAACTCACAATATTTTAAGTACAGAACTAGAAATATTTCAGTCTTAAACCTTCTAAAACAAAGTAGTTGCATAGATTCAAAAGATGACTTAACGTAAAGTTTATTTTTTCTTTAGTAAAATCACCCTGTGCTATACTACTGAACTGAAACCTAAGTGAACTTTTTGTTCTGTTTATGAGATCATACTACTGTTAGCTGAAAAACCTACATAAAGTTTTCCTCTTTTACTACTCTGTCCTGTGAAAGGCATTGAGACTCTGCTTGACAGAGAGGAGTTAGCTTCCATGTTCTCAAAACTCTAGAAAACTCACTCTGAGTAACAGGGAGGAAGTGGTAGGAAAAAGAAAAATAATTTAAAAAAACACACACAGGTTTATTACTAGGTATCTAAATAATATTTAAAAATACAGTCCTTTCACTTCTTGACCTAACTCTAAAAATGCATGTTATGAATTGAAAGCTTGAAAAGCAGCCTTTGAACAGATACATTTTCAGACTTTATATTATTTTAGTTTCATTCTGAGGGCTCTAACTTCTGTTTATCTTATCTAAGAAACTTGTAGTTTTCCTATTGAAAGTAACTGGACCACTTTGATGCCAAATGAGCCTGCCTTTCTTTGCCTGCATCATCTGCAGCTTCTGAAAACACAGCAGGTCATCTCTAAGTAGCAAGGCTCCCTTTTTCTGCCCTACAGATTAGATAAATAACACACCCAACAAAAGCTTGTTTAAAAGGGACTAAAAAGCAGGCACTATGCGACATCATTTAAAAATAAATAATTTCCTACTAAATCTTGATATTATGAAAAAATTCCTACCCACATCATTATAGTTTTCCATAGTGAGGACATTAAAACCCAGCATTTTAGACGTGTATCAAATCTGTGCGAGGGTGAAAAAACATTGGAGAAAGCTACAAAAGTAGTTGCTGCTGCAGTCAATGTAAGAATAGTCTGACTCAAAATGCTTGAATTATATTTCATCTCATTTATTTTATTTAAAAGATGCAGTTCCAGATTCAGAACTTATATATGAGTAACAAAATACATTTGATTTACTTCATCTAATGAAAAAGCTGGCTCCAATCAACACCTTTTTGGAGACCACACACACAAGTTGAAGTTTCCAGTACACAGTCTACAAACTAATGTAAAAACCAAAGGAGTGTTCGTCTTGAACAGCATTACAAAAAGCACAATCCGTTCATTCAGAAGCATTTTCCAATTATCTGAAAGCTTTCTTGATGAACATCAAAATAAAAAAAAAATTCTGATTAACATCTAACACACTAGAAATAGCCTATATTCAGTGCTACCTGAGGTTGGAAAACTATTATAGTATTGTGCACACTGCCATATAATTAAATTATCAAACTGAAAATAGACCCATTGTATACCAAATACCAACTAGAAATTAAGCTTATTTGAGCAGAAAAAAGAAAGCAAAGGGGAAGAAAAATTTCAATTTCATAATCTGCTTGGGGGATTTTGTTGTTGGTTCTGGTTTTAAGTACAAAGATTGATAAACCTTTCGAACATCACTTACAATTTTCAATTCTTTAGAGACAGTTGCAGGCACTGTCTACCTCCACCAGCAGCCACAGCCCCACACAGCAAGACGAGCACACAGCAGCCTCATTCTTCGTGGCCCTGCAAGATCACGCCGGCAGCTGGCTGCGCACACAAGAAACTCTTTTTCCTCCAGTGCCGCCAGCAGCGTGCAAGACACCGATCTGATGGCTCCGCATCCCTGCGGACACACACCGGACACAGCAACTCCTCTGGTACCACTTGACAGCTTATCTGCACATTTCCTAATCTGGCACGGAAGCTAATCACATGAAAGATTCATCAAATCTTATTTTATTACAAAGCAAGAATGCATCGCAACGATTTACTAAGGAACTAGTCTTTGCTAATTTTGCAAGTTACCATCGATGTGCAAACAAAAGGCACGGCTGAATCTACCGAGCAGTGAAAGAAGGCTCTTTTGTCCTGGGAAGCAGACACAGTACTCCCTCACTAAATTAATCCAGCAGCAAATTTAAGATCACATTCCTCGTCATTTCTTTAGCTGCACAGCTATGCACTAATACCACATATTTTAAGCACTGAAATACCACAGGAGCACATTAAGCCAGCCCCATGTTTTTATTCTCCAAGATGCTGCAGGCAGCTGAGCACCAGGGAAACAACGCAGAAGCTGAGGGAATTGCCCCAGGCTGCCCAGTAACTCACTGGACTGGAACACAGAAGTTCCTGGAGATCTTCCTCTCAATTAACTAGATTGCACTAACTACGCCCATGTACTCACATACATAATATTCAAATCTATCCTGCAAGGACTGAGAGAAAGGCACAATGGGCAAACAAATTCTCTCAAGACCCTAAAGATATTTTAAATAAACACATTTCCATTTAGTGTATCTGTTTTCTATGCAGGAGCATCTTACAGACTTTTTTTTCCCAAAAAGGATTATGTGGGATCAGACACAAAATCAATTAACGTCTAGTAATCAATGTAATTTTATTGTACCTTCTTTTTTTTCTTTATAAAAATGAATCTTCCCCTTCCTTCCCCAGCCTAGCCAATCTAATATTATTATACCTGCATTATTCCTTTTAATGTTGAATCTTTTCCCACCATCCCCAGACTATTTAAACTTGTATTTTTCAATGTTTTTTATCTGTGTACTTCGCCAAGTAATAATGTGAAGTAGTAAACAATATTAACATAATATAGCCACATCCTGCTCTAAGATGACTACTTTCCTTTAATAGCGCAAGTAATATTCATTTAGGGGATACAAAGAACAACAGGAATGATTAATGTAATTAGCTTGGAACCATACAATACTTGATATCCAAAAGAGGAGTCACAGAGACAGCTTTTAACTGAACTCATGTAAAGAAGGTCTCACTTAGCAGAAATGAAATCTCAAAACTATTGTCCACAATAAAGATCCAGATTTGGTAAATTCACCCGTTTAATCAGACAGGAATTGGGAATCATTACATCTGGTATGTGCCTTTGCCCCAGGCATAAAGACTACAGCCTCCCATCTGCAGGCTGGGCAGCCCATCCTGCAAAGGAACAGCAGCTCAGGGGCTCTGGGTGTCGCTGCCAAGCAGCTCTGGTGTTACAGCATGGAGAGAACGGTCTGAAGATGCTGTCTACAGGTTTGGAAACTGCAAAACGCTGGGAACAAATCCTAACTCTAATAAGGAGCAGGGTCCATGTGAAGGTGTGCTGGGTTTCCTGCTAGAAGGCTCCTCAAAGACATTTCACCGGGTGGAAGTACTAGACTCCAAGGTTTGACTGAACTCAGGAACTCCACCAGTGGTCCTCACTGGTGGCGATCTGCAGCACCAGCCTAAAGTCTTTTTCCTATCTTTAAATCTGGACTATTACCATCTTCTAGTGAGGATTATAAGGCCTATACATTCAAAGAAATGGGATTTCATTTTGAAGAACAAGGACTTGATTGAAAATGCTTTTCTTATTAGATTATAAGTGATTAATGGATTTTACATCTTCAAATTCACCATACCTAACACAGGTTTTCATTAATTTTTCAAGATAACTTAAAAGAAGTATTAAACTTAACTGCATAAATATCTGACACTTCAGAACTTTAAACACACGTATCTGTGGCTTTAACCATTAAACTGTGTTGTAATTAGCCTCCTCAAGTAACAGTCTCAGACTTAACAAGCTTACAGTCACCTATCCATTGCTGGTGTTTAAATCAGTCTTCTCTAAACAGCACTTTGATATATTTGTTCAATATAGACACAAGGAAAGACTTTCTCCTATTAATCACTCATCAGATTTATTCTTTTCCTACATTTGTATTTAAGTCTCAAATATGTTCCCTGCTGACTCAAATCACTGCATTTTCCTGATTCTAGTTTGGCTTTAATAAATTTAAGAAATGCACACTCTATCGCTTGCAGCTTCAGTTGAGGATGGAAAATGTTTAGCTCAATAATCAGCCGCCTTGATATGTTGATAACCCCAGAACTGTAAATTTTAGAGGATCAATTCAGTTCTTATCAGTTACAATTTGTATAAACCCTGACACTCAATTTTTCACTGGAAAAACAAGTGGCAAAAATTGGCCATAACAGACCAAAAATCTTTACCACAAAGCTTACTTGTCCAAAGAGCTGTTATGTTCAACATTTCTTTGTAAGCTGTATTTTCATTTCTCATAACTTCTATTTCAAAACACACCACTTGCTTAAAGACTCTCTCTACCTGCTGTAGTCTTTCTTACCCCAGAGAAAATTAGCCAGGGCACTGTGAAGACCTTTGGTGTCCTTTGTCCTGAAAGATGTTGCAGGAATAATTGTGATATGTGCAAGTCACTATTTAATTAGGGGGGGGAAAAAAAAGGGTCAATTAAATTCAATATGCCTATATCATTGAACTCGCTATAACATGACTTTTAAAAAACTGGAATCCTCATAAAACCTGTGGTGCCATCTCTATGCAAAAGTTTCTCAAACTATTTCTCAATTATTTTCTTATGCTCTCCTCAAAGTACTAAGTGCAGTGATGCAACATTAACTGTTCAAATCCATGAGGAAAACATACTTGCTACTACCCGAGAGAATCATTTTGAAAAAAATCTTTAAAAAAAATAAATCAGTCATTTGTATCAAACTTTTGCAATCAAAGAATTATGAGTGAAACATCCACAAACACATTAGTAAGGCATAAAACTCAATGTCATGAAATAAACTCATGAAGAGTGATCATGCACAGGTAAGATATGTGAAGGAAGGGAAGAATTCAGTTGACATATCTG